CGCCGTCCACGGGCTCGATCTGCTGCAGCGTGGCCAGCACGAACACGGCCGTCTTACCCATACCGGACTTGGCCTGGCAAACGACGTCCATGCCGAGGATCGACTGCGGGATGCATTCCTGCTGGACTTCGGAAGGATGCTCGAAACCGAGGTCGGATATGGCTCGGAGGAGCTCGGGCTTGAGGAGGAAGTCACGGAAACCTGTAGAGTGGATGCCGACGTAGGAGCCCTTTTTGTCTTGGTCGGCGTCCGCAGTGGCGGCGGCACCGTTGCCGGTGGCAGCGGCGCCGTTGGTGGCGGAAGGGGCGACAGCGACCTCCTCCTCGTAGTCGATCAGACTATCATTGAGCACGCAAGGTCGAGAGGCGGACAGTCAAGGCGGTCGCGAGAGAGAAGACGAGAAGGTGCAGGTTGGTGGCGAGTGTGCAGAATGCAGAGAGTTAGTATGTGTGCTGATCGTTGCGAGTCGTGACATCATGGACGGGTGGCCTTGAGTGAAGGTGCCAGATGTGCAGGGTTTGCGGGGAAGAAGAGCGCGAGACTCACTCTTCGTTGTCGATGGCGGACATTGTTGATGTGAGTGTGTTTGGTGTGCGGAAGTGTAAGGATCAGGTGCAGATGAGAAACAGAGGATCGACCGAGGAAAACCGAGAAGCAGCGGAACAAAGGGTCGGGAGATGGTGGTGCGGACGCTGGTGACGCGCGGGCAGCTCAGCGCGACGTCGAGAAGAAGTCGAAGCGCCTCTCGCTCTCTGTGCGTGGATGGAAATGGCAGAGCGGCAGAGACACGCGCTCCGCTCGCGGCCAGGCTCTGCTGCTGCTCCGCCACTCGTGTTCTGCCTTAACACGCGCAAAATAAGGCGAGCCCAAGATGCACCAACACCGTGCGCCGCTGCAGCCTGCAGGTGGCAGCAGCTCGAGCCCCACCGGGCACTTGATCAGTGCGGGTCGGGTGATCGCGTCTTCATGAGCTGTCAGGCAGGCGCGGCAAGGCACAAGCGCTGAGGCCCATTCTCTCGTACGATAGCTTTTCTCCCCTTCCTTCCCAAGGCCGCCGCCGCCACTGACACAGACATGCTGGTCGCTGCATTTCTTCTTCGACCGTTTATCTGCTGCTTGTACGTTGGCCAGTATCCTTTCCTCGTTTGCGTGATCTGATGAGAGCTTGGTGGCAAAGTGAAAAGACGATGGCCTTGCGCAGCTGCAGAGGCATGCGGAATCAGTCGTCCCACAAAAGTGGGCGTCAAAAGAGGGCCACTTTTTTCTCCAAAAACAAAGAGGCGAGGACGATCGGGCAACGACGAATCACGATCAACCCGATAAGGATGTTCGGCTTCTAGCACGGAAGGCGGATCTGGCGACTGTATGCTGTGACGCCGTCCACGCCGGGTAGATAGGCGCTTGCCGGGGCGATCAGCGCAGCATGTGCGTACGGAAGGCCATTCCAGTCTTTTTGCCGGTCTGATAGGCAGCGTCGGAAGAGTTTGTTCGCCCTTCATCCATACTCGCCGTCCCGAGCGGCCGGAACCCTATCCCATGACCGCGGACGGGCCTCTGCCGAAGCTCGATGGCACGTTCCAACGCTATCGACGAATCTGAGCCAGCCGCGTGTGACGCGCCGAACCCGAAGCCAGCTGCCGACGCTGACCCTAAGCTACCGCAGACAAACAAGGATAGAAGACAGTGCGTGTTCAAGATCCAGCCAAGTCGCTGCTTCTTCGGGGCGAAATCCTGCATCGAAGCTCATGTGGAGCACGACTCTGCGATAGCGGTAACAAATTCCAACACGACAAGGCGAGCGAAAAAAGAAAAGGGAGCGCGATTGCCGGACTGATTGCCGGGGAGCTGAGAGATCCTTGGCAGCCAAGCCAGCAACGCGAAGCAAGACCCTTCCTCCTCTGCCGAGTTGGCATCAACGTGCCGCATACGTAGCCGGATCGACACTCTCCGTGGCCGCCCCTCCGATAGTCGCCGTGCCACGACGGAGGGTATAAGTAGGTCCGCTCCAAGACGCTGCGCCTGCTCCTCCACCCCAAGAAAGCTCGTCCCCACTCTAGCCCCACTTCGATCAACAAAAGCCACCATGACCAAGACGCTTCACGAACGATTCCTCCAGGAAAAGACGGCGGCCATCGTCGGATGCCCCTTCTCGGGCGGTCAGCGCCGCAAGGGAGTCGACACGGGTCCCATCTCGCTCGTGTCGGCGGGCATCTGCGAGCAGCTCGAGTCGCTCGGCTGGAAGGTCGAGTTTGACGGCCACCACTCATTCGACCACATCAACGAAAAGATCGCCACGGACACCGACATTGGCAACATGAAGCTGCCACGCACGGTCTCGGCGGTGACGCAGGAGGTCGCCGCCACGGTCGAGTCGCATGCCAAGCAGGGCAAGCTTCCCCTGACGCTCGGTGGTGACCACAGCCTTGCGCTCGGCACCGTCACGGGCACGCTGCGTGCGTACCCGGATGCGGCGCTCATCTGGATCGACGCCCACGCCGACATCAACACTCCCGACACCACCGAGTCCGGCAACCTGCACGGCTGCCCCGTCTCGTTTCTGCTGGGTCTGGAGGGCACGGATGTGGAGCCGTTCAACTCGTGGGTGCCCAAGAAGCCGCTGCTGCGTCCCGAGAGCCTGGTGTACATCGGTCTGCGCGACATCGATGCGGGCGAGCGCAGGATCCTCAAGCAGAACAACATCAAGGCCTTCAGCATGCACCACGTCGACAAGTATGGCATCGGTCGCGTCGTCGAGATGGCGCTCGACCACGTCAACGGCGCACCGGGCAAGCGCGATCGTCCCGTCCACCTCTCGTTTGATGTGGATGCGCTCGACCCCAGCGTGGCTCCTAGCACGGGCACCCCTGTGCGTGGCGGCCTCACCTTCCGCGAGGGCCACTACATCTGCGAGGCGCTCTACGAGACCGGATGCCTCGTCGCCCTCGACCTCATGGAGGTCAACCCTTCGCTGCTCGAGGACCGCGAGGCCCAGCAGACGATCGCGGTCGGATGCTCGCTCATCCGCTCCGCCATGGGCGAGACCCTCCTCTGAATTCCATCTTTCGCCGCCTCGCTATACCTGTATTCCATCTGTAATTTAGACCAGCGCCGCCACATCCCGCCTTTGCTCCCGCCTCTTTTTGTCCATCCGCCATTGCAGTGTGAAGAGCAACACTGGAGCGATTGCGGAACTGCCGAGCGAGAGGGTTGTTGAGCGCGCCGACACCCAAAGCCTGAGCCTCCGCGCTGCCTTGTGACTTTATCGTGCCTTCTTCCTCCACCTTTGTGACGCTCGCCGGACCTGCCGCGCGCTTGCACTCAACTGCTGGCTGAGCAAGGGGCAAGGGGAAAAAAAAAGTGTTGCTCTCGCGCTGCACACCCTTGAGAGAGGGAACTGAGCCACGCCTGCCTGCCTGGGCCGACGCGCTGAATTGTGCCACTTTTCCAGGCGTGGCCATTTTTCTCCACTTGAGCAACGGTAGCAGCTGCGCGATCAGGGTCCTGACACACGGCCATGCAGTCGTGGCTGCTCAGCAGAAGGCGCGCCTGCGTGTGAATGCGACGGAAGGCTCCGATAGTCAGCCAGCCAGCCGTGCCGCCGAAGCTCTGAACGAGAACGCATGCGTGATTCACATTGGCCGTCTTTTCTCTCCCTCTCTCCCTCCCACACCACTGCAACCGTCTCTCTGCGTGGAAGCAACGGCAGCCCATTTCGAGCTGGAAAGCTTTGTAGCTTTCGTCAAGCGTCGGCTTTTCCGCCTCATCTCAGCAGCTGCAGGCGGCTGCAAGTCCGGTGCATCCGACCCCAGCTCAGCCCCACCGACCTGTCTCGCTGCTCATCCCAAGCCTCTCTCGCTGCTGCCAACCCAACATCAGCCCACCGCTGGCTTCCAAGCCAAGCAAGCACTCCAACACCTCCGTCCAGCCGCCGCCCATCTTCCCTTGCGACCAACCCCCCTCCCGCATCCAAGTCCATCCGATCCCACACTAGCTTCGGGTGCCATTAGGTCTGCTGATCTGGACCCAGGCTCATTGTATCAGACTCGGTGATACGGCGAATCTACGATGGAAGAAAACGCATCGTCGGCGCGCTCGCGAAGGCGCAAGGCGGCCATCGTCGTCTCAGACGATGATGCCCCCGAGGCCTCGTCGTCGACCACCAAATCTCACAGCCGGATCAAACGCGAGAGAAGGTCGAGCATCAATCGCGATGCTGTTACGCCTCCGCTCGCAGACGAAGCACGCCGCAAGGTTCGCACCCGACGCAGCCCGGGCAAGGATGCCTCGCCATCAGCCAAGCAAAATGCACCCAGCAAAGCCTCTTCCACTCATGGTCAAGAGCACATGCCGCCTCCATCGGCCGCGAGCAACATCCTCGACCACGACTCGAATGATTCGGACAACAATCTCATCGAGGTGGCGAAGCCTACGCGCCGCAAAGCACAGGCGGCTGCGTCAAGCACCGAGGATCCCGAGACCAAACGCTCCGGCAAGTCGTCCTCTGCCGCCTCAACAGCCACAAAACAGTCGATCGATCTGGCGCGTCAACTCTTTGACGACGAAGACGGAGACAATCAGGGCGACAAGGACGCAAAACAAGGGACCACCAGCGCTGCCGTGGCTTCCACCGGCAAACCCAGCGACGCCGGCAACTCTCACGAGGACGCCTCAGAGTCGGCTGCACCGTCACGCAAGCGCAGCCGCGCTGAATCTGGCGGGTCCTCCAAGTCCGATCGTCCGGCCGCTGACGGCTCGCGCACCAATGCAGCAGACACCGTCTCGCTCCAGCTGCGCATCCGTCAGCTCGAGATGCAGCTCGCCGAGACCAAGACGCAAGTGGAGCAAGGCGCCGGCGTCATCAGCCAGCAGCACACCATCCTCAAGGAGCTCCACGGCCAGTGCATCTGCCACATCTGCATCGAGCCCTCGTTCCGGCCGTGCGTGCTGGCGCCGTGCGGACACGTGTTTTGCATCCACTGCCTGCGCGCCTGGTTCACCAAGCCGCTCGAAAGCGAGGCAGCACCACCGTCCGGCTGGTCGCAGACGCAGATCGATGCGTTCCTGCGTGCACGCACGCTGAAGCGGCGCAAGATCTGCCCTTCGTGCCGCACCGAGCTCGCATGCCCGCCCGTCGAGGTGTTTCTGGTGCGCGACATGCTCGAAAAGGTGGACGAAGGCCTCAAGCTCAGCAAGGAGGCGCCGCTAGATTCGGACATGGCCGAGTCGAGCAGTGCGATCCTGTCGGCGGACGACAAAGTGCGGCTCAAGGGCGAGGATCTGCCCAAGGGCGCCAAGCTGTGGGCGGACATCTTTAGCGAGGATGGACCCCGCCGCATCATCTACGACGAGGTCGACGGCGTGCCGCGCTGCGGCAGCTGTGGATGCGAGATCTACGACGGGAGGTGCAGCAACCCTTCGTGCGAGATCGACTATGACTCGCTGTCGGACTACGACGACTTCCGGCTGCCTCACGACGACATGTACGAGGGCATGGACAGCGAGGACGACGACGGCTACGGCGACGGAGGCGGCGCTCGACGCAACGATCCGCTTGGACGACGCCTCGCCGAGTTTGAGGCGCGCCACGGAGGGACCGAGGATGTGGACGGCGATGCGGTGCGAAGGCGCTCGGAGGGCGACCATGGCGAGCATATGATCATGGATGGGGTGCACCGCAGGGACTCGAGCTGGACCGACGACGACGATGAGGAGATGGACGACTTCATTGTTCGCGACGCGGACGAGTCGGACTATGGCAGCTACGAGCATGAGGACGAAGGATACTTTGGGCCCGCAAACAACTACTTCCATCCGGACTATGATCAATTCGGACCCGGTGGACGCAATGAGTACCACTCGGGCTCGGAAGACGCCGAGGAGTGGGAGGAAGCCGAGGAGGAGGACGACGACTTTTTACCCGGCCCAAGGCGCGGTGGGCAAGCGTCTGCGATCGAGATCTCGGACGACGAGGGCGACGAGGACGACTCTGGGAAGGAGACGGACTCGGAGGTGGAGTACGCCGGGCGAGGTGCAGGTGGACGCGGGCGCGTGGTGGACGACGATGACGAGGGCAGCGGCAGCGACGAGGAGATGGAAGCGAGGGAGATGGGCAGCAGTGGCGACAGTGCGCTGCGCCGCCGACGTGCGCGCATCGTTGACGACGAAGACGACGAGGAGGCCGAGTCGGACGATGACGACTAGCAGTAGCTACAGTATCGTGCGTGAATCTCAATAGTTCCAGACTTGTTGACACACTTTGAATTTTTGCGGGGCCGATTGAGACAAATGGTCATGCGGTGCTGGGAACTGGTGCCTTGGGGGGGTATGATTGGGGATGCTAACCGTAGCTGGACTGGAAGGAGGGTTGCTTACTGAGCTGCGAGTAGTTTGGATAGGCTGATCGCGAGCGTCGGTAGGATTGTTTGGTGTTGGTGTTGAAGTAGTCGTCGGACTCCACGTTGTTTTGGTTTGGGTGCTCGACTTTGCTTGAAGGAATGCGGTCGACAAAGATGAAAGCGGTGAGGTAGAGGACGGCTGCAGCTACGATTCCCATGGTGATGCCGACGACGGAAGCTGCGCCAAGGAAGATGTAGACGGGGTAGAGCTCTGTTGCTACCGTTGTGATGACACGCAGAGGAACGTGGACGAAGACGTAGAGGATGCCCGAGACGAGGTAGCTGAGTGGAGCAAGTGCATAGGCTAATGGTCGAAGTACATGCGACAGAGCCACTCTGAACATCGACCAGATCCATACAGCGCCCGAACCAAGCGCTCTACCTGCAAGCCGAAAGGGAACCACGATAAAACGCACCGCAGTCACCAAGAGGGATGCGAAAGAAGATGCCACTGCCAGCACTTGCGAAAAGACACCTGGTCCATCCGAATCTTGGCTGATCGTGGGTTGTGGTTTGATTGCTTTCGAGGTGGTGCTCGGCTTTGGTTTGGGCTGAAGAGCGATGGATGGATGGGGAGTATGAGCTTGGCGCAGATAGTCTTGGTGCTTAAAGTTGAACACGTCTGGCTCCTTTGCAGCTGCCTGCACCGCCTCGACGACGCTCTCGGCGTGACTGTATGGGTTCTTGAGTGCGCGCGTTGCATTACCCACCGTACTGGATGTGGATCCAAACATGCGCGTCTTGATGTACGGCACCACCATGGCCAGCACAAGAGCCAGCAGCGCAAGCCGAACCAGCTTTCCGATCGAGCCCAGAATGCTCGGCTCGTCCGCCACTCGAGGCTGTGCAGAACGGCGTCGTGTGGGCGTCGAGTCGGGGGAACGTCGGTAGAAGCTCGCGTCGGAATCCGATGCGCGTGCGCGATGCATCGAGTCGGACGACTCGCCCGAGGATGTGCGCGACCTCATGGCGTCCATCCTGCGCTTTGAGAGAGGGCGGAGCAAATGGAGGAGCAAAGCCAGGGAAAGCTGAAGCTCCAGGCACCTTGGATGTGCGTCGGGTGCAGAGCGACAGGCCTCAGAGTGACATCAGAGTGTGAAAGATGGGGGCATCCAGCAGCAGCAGCAGCAGCAGCAAGCAGGACCCTGGACCGCGCATTTTCTCCACCTCTGCCCACCTGCTGCAGAATTCCAGTGGACACGGCTGCATTGGCAGATAAGCCGACGCGCTCGGGACTCGGCCCAGAAAAGGTTTAAGTTTTTGGTGGGGCCGCTCCTCTTTCTTCTCTGCGCCGTTTCGGTTCGGCCGCCATCCGATCTAGCGCCATTACCTCCTTGGACTTGCCGACCCAGCGCAAAGATAAAGAGTGCGTGTGCATTGCATGCTGCCTTGCTTCCGCTTTTCATTCGCTCGAGCCGCCGCAAGTCTTACCTCGACGCGCAACACCATGCCCAAACGCGGCGGCGGCAAGTTCAGCCGCAAGAACCAGGCGGCTCGCGCCTCGGCGTCTGGCAGCACAAACACCACACCACATCCACAATGGCAGCAACATCCATACGATCAACCACACGGCTACGATCAAGCATACCACGGCTATGACTACAACCAACAGCACCCATACGGCCAGTCGAACGGATGGCAAGCGCCTCAGTATGCACAAGGTGGTTACTACGCAGATTACCCAGACTACGGCGCGTATACGAACCCAGTGGCGCAGGTCCAACCTTATGCGCAGGGCTGGGGGCAACCCTACGCCCACGACTGGCACAACCATGCGCATGGCCGAGGTGCGTCCAGCGACAACTGGCGAGACCGCTCCTACCAGCAAGCTCCCCAGCCGTACCCGCAAGAGTACCCGCCCCAGCATGCCTGGCAACACCACGCAGCATATAAAGCGGACGCTTTGGGCTACTATGAAAATGGCTTCGGCTCCAACCAGCGCCACTTTCATTCCTCTTCAGCCGCTCCCGGCGGGCCCGGCGGTCCTGCACGCAGACACGACAGACGCTCACGCTCCCCAAGTGGGGCTGTTGAATCGCAAGTCACGGGCGCTCCACGTGGCCCTGCAGCCATGCTTCTCAAGTCGGCCATCCGTGCCGAGCCGCGCACCGAGTATCTAGACCAGGCGGCTGCCGGATCGACGCTGCTGTCCGACGAAGAGGCGGCGCGACGCAAGCTTCTCGTGGTGCTCGACCTCAACGGCACGCTCGTCTTCCGCGCCAAGGGCAGCAATGGCCGCGCCATGGACTCGGTGCGCGCCATACCGCGGCCGTATCTGCTCTGCTTCCTCCAGTACTGCCTGGGCATGTCGAACGAAGCACCCGCTTCCGACGTCGCTTCGCCCGCCAGTGCAGCGTCGGTGGAGGCGAGAAAGGGTCCGCACGGCTCGCACTTTTGGCACGATGGGCACGAACCCGAATCGCACGGCAATGCGCATGTGGTGGTGTGGTCGTCAGCTCAGCCGGCCAATGTGGATAGCATGGTGCGCGCGTCGTTCGACGCCGAGGTGCGCGCGAGCATCCTACGCGTGTGGGCGCGTGACACGCTCGTTCCCCGCCGCCACTTCCACCACAAGGCTCAGAGCGTCAAGGACCTCGAGATCGTCTGGGCCGAGCTCAATGCGTCTGCCAACGGCAAACCCAGCCCTGGTCGACTGCTGGCCGATGCAAGGGACCAAGCCGACCAGCTTCTGCCGGATGAGTCGTCCCCCGCCGCCCCTGCTTCGAACGGCGCCAAGTCTCGTGCCAAGGTGAAGCAGATCTCAGCGGCGCTCGAGGCGGCGAAGCAGGCCGAGGCCCTGGGTCCGTGGAGCGCCGCCAACACGGTGCTCGTCGACGACAGCGTGGCCAAGGCGCGTCTACAGCCGCACAACCATCTGCTCATCCCCGAGTTCGGCAAGAAGGACGCCCAGATGATGCGCGCCTTTATCCGGCAGTGTCTCGCTGCTGCCAAGCCGCACGATGCCGAGGAGCAGGGTGAGGACGATGTTGAGCTCGAGTACGACTCGGACCTCTCGATCGCCAATGGCAGCAAGGACGAGAAAGAAAAGAGCGAGGTGGAGGAAGAGGGTAAGGCCAAGAAGAAGCCCGTGCCCGAGAGCAGGCTGGACGACGTGCTGCTGCAGACCATCGGCGTGCTCGACACGCTCCGCCACCAGTCCAACGTGAGCGCCTTCATCTATGCCGGCGGCATCAAGGGCTACGGCGAGCCCAAGACCGCAAAGAACGACCAGCAGCGTCACGAGTTGGTGCAGCAGGGGAAAACGCCCGAGCACTGGGCGAGCGTCGGCCGCAAAGCCTGCGAGAGCATGGGCTTCCCAGTCAAGGCTTGGACGCCCAGCGCAGCCGCTTCCGCCACTGCTGCACTGCTGTGCTAGCAACGCAGACCAATCCGATACCCTTACATCCAGCGATATGGACGGAGCGTGCGAGTTGATTGCAGGTCGTGCTGAGGTTGAGCGGGTGGTGACCTCCACATTTGAGCGGCGCTGAAAGGCGATTTTGGGGGGCGATTTCGCGCAACGCAGTCGTGCATTTCGCTATGCATCTTTAGCGCGCGTTCAAAAATCGCACTGCGCACACACCCCCGGCAACACCCCCCCGGCGCAGGCGAAGGGCAAGCCAACAGGGTCCACCCTGACCATCCCCGCTCTTGCATCTTTATCTTTACCCATCACCACATCCGCCTTTACCAGCTTCTGCACCATGGCGGAAGCAGTGACTGTCGACACCTCACCCGAGCGCGCCGCCACCTCGTCGAGCACGGCGCTCAACCTCGACGGCATCCTGCTGCTCGAAGCCCCCTTCGCCAAAGTGCCGTTCGACGAGCTTCGACGCCAGCAGAAGACGCAACAACGCCTCATCGAGCGTGAACTCCAATATGCCACCACGACGTTTTCCGACGCCACCAAGCCGGGCGGTTCGCGCGCGGGTGAGGTGGACAAGTCGCTCGACCTCGTGCTGGGGCGACTCAAGGGGCTGAAGCGCAAACTGGCGCCGTTGGCGGAGCAGGCCAAGTCGAGCCTACGCATGGCGCAGAGCCGCACGGACCATTTGGCGAACCTGCACACCATGGCTGATGCTGAGAGTGTCGAGTTTGGCGAGTGGGCACGCACGAGGCTCGACCGGATGATCGTCGATTACATGCTGAGGAGGGGCTACCGCGAGGCAGCGCATGCTCATGCTGCACAGAAGGGCATCCAGGATCTGGTGGATGTGCAGCTTTTCGACGAGATCGCAAGGATCGAGGACTCGCTCTGTCCGCCGGACTGGCATCGAGCAACACAGCATGCGACACACGAGGTTCCAACGGGTGTGACGAGGCCAAGCTGTGGGGCGGCGCTGGCATGGTGTTCGGAAAACAAAGCCACGCTGCGCAAGATCCGCACGCCGCTCGAGTTCAATCTGCGCATGCAGGAGTTCATTGAGCTGGCGCGCGTGCGCACCTCGGACAGCATTCGCGACGCCATTGCATACGCGCGCCGTCACCTTCTTCCCCTCGTCACCGCCACCAAGCCCAGCACAGCAGCGTCGGAGGAGGCCGAATACGAGCGGCTGGCAGCCGAAGCTATCCGAAAGGAAGTCAGTCGTGCACTGGGCCTGCTGGCATGCGCACCGGGAAGCTGGGCATATGCGGACCTGTACAGTGTGGGTCGATGGGCGATGCTGCGCGACTCGTTCCGTGCCTGCGCCCTGCAGATCCACAGCCTCCCCGCTCAACCGATCCTTCACATCGCCCTGAGCGCAGGACTTTCGAGTCTCAAACTGCCGCAGTGCTGCCCCGCCGTGGGCGATGGCGGCAATGTCGACTGTCCCGTGTGCGATGCCAAGGGCCTCGGCGTGCTGGCCAGACAAGTGCCGTGGTCGCACCACCAAAACTCAACCCTCGTATGCAGCGTAAGCGGCAACATTATGGATGATAACGATCCGCCCCTCGCACTGCCCAATGGGCGCGTGTATGCACAGTCGACCGTCGTGGATCTCGTGCATAAGGGCGATGGATGCACCATCGTGTGTCCGCGCACCGGTGCGCGATGCAGTCTCCACGACGTACGCAAGCTCTTCATCTCGTAAAATCACATGCATTGCAGATTCATCGGCATTGTGGCAGGATTACTGGGCGTGGGTGAGGGTGAGCGGGATAATGGTGGTGGCGTTGGTCGCGTGGGGGAGCTTGATCCATCGTCCAAGACGGTGTTCCTTGCCTGCTGCGACGATGAGCAATGGCGGCGCGTTTTGCTTGGTTGCGGTGACGCGCGTCAACCCCTTACCCTCGGTCTCCACCGCACCTTTGGCGTGCTTCCACTTGGACGCCACTAGGGCGTTGGTGCTGAGGCTGCCGTCACTCGACACGCGCACCGATGACAGGGGGGGCTGGACGAGCTGGATCGAGTTGACCACACCCTGGACGCTGACGCTCATGAGCGGTTCGAACGAGCGAATGCTTCCACCCGGCGCAACGATCCTCCACAACCTGACGTTGCCATCCCAACTAGCCGAGGCGAAGACGTCCGAATACGGCAGTGCTGCAACAGCGGTGATCCATCTGGGCGTCCGGATGTCGCCCTCGCTCTCGCTCGTCGTCAAGTCGAACCCGTGCGCAACAGGCACACTGTGCACCGGCTTCTTGCGACCCAAGTTCCAGAGCGAAACACTGCCCGAGTCACCACCAGACACAAAGTGGCTCTGATCAATCATGGCCACCACCTCGACGGATCCCTCCACCGCCTCGGTTGGCGCACTCATCTTTCCTTCGCCCGATAGCGCTTGGCGTGCAAGGTCACCGCCTTCGAGTACGTCGCGCAGCTTCGACTTGGCTCCGGCGCGGAAGACGAGCTGCGACTCGTCGCGGATCTTCCAGAACCGACACGTACGATCCCTCCCTCCCGCCGAAACTGCCGTCTCGGCACCAAGGCAAGAAAGAGAAAGCACGGACTCTTGGTGGCCGAAGAGCGTTTCGATGTACGACAGCTGCGCCACGTCGTACAGCTTGAGCGTGCGGTCGAGCGAGGCTGTGTACAGCTCGTGCGAGCCGGTGCGGAACTGCACCGCCGAGATCGCATCCTTGTGCCCGCCGAGCGCCTTGAGGAACGTCTCGCCCGCGCGCGGCGCAACGTCCCAGATACACACGCGCGCATCCTTGCCTCCCGAAGCAAGCCTGCTGCCGTCGGACGACACGGACAGGCTCCAGATCTCGTCCGTATGGCCCTGCTCCGCACCGACACCGAGGTAGCTCGCTGCATCCGCGCCATCGCTCGTCTTGCCCTTGTCGCCATTTGCGGCAGCGGCGGCGGCGGTGAATCGTGCGCGCCTCCGCGCGGCGCCGCTTGTCTTGCTCCTGCTTGCCGCACTGGGAGGCACGGGTTGGCCGTCGTCGTCAAGAACGCGCGCACGCCTTGGCAGCACCCGAACCATCTTGCCATCGCTCATGCGCCACCGGATGATGTTGCCGTCCTTGCTCGCTGTGAAGAGCCACTTCGCATCCGCCGACGCCACGGCCGCGGTCACACTCAACCTGTGACCCTTGACGGTAAGCACCGTGCCACTTTGCGCGTCATCGGCTGTGGGCGATACGGCAATGCGGTTGGCGAGGAAGAGGTGGATCTTGCCGCTCTGTTCGGCAACATCCTTCTGCAGCCTTGCGGCAATGTTGTCTCTGTCAGCCTGGGCCGCATCTGCCAGCCCGAAACTCGGCTGCTCTGCGCCCTCGAAGAAGTCGTCCCCTGCGGGCGAGTCCGAGAGGCCCTGGAGGTACATCTTTGCGAGGCGTACACGTGCCTCGGCGGGCGTCTCGGCGGCCTCGGCCTCGTCGTCCGAGTTGGGCGCATGGTTGTAGTTGTGCGTCAAGTCCATGTCGTCAATCCCGCCTGCTGCGTCGTCATCCTCTGCGTCCGAGTCGGCGTTGGGTTTGCGCATGCGCGACGACGACGCGGACGACGACGGTTTAGACCGCGAAGGTCCCGCGCGAGCGCCTGCACCCGAGGCGGAAGTGCGCTTGCGCTTCTTCTGGAAGAACGCGTCCGGCATGGTGGGTGGCGAAAGTGCGAATGCTCGATGCAGTGGTGGCGGGAGGGTGGTGAGCAAAGGCCAGAGTATGTGATGGCAGACAGAGGTGGAGAGGGGCAGCCACGCCCGTCTGGAAGGTGAATTTTTTCAGCCGCTGCGCTTCTTCCACATTTCTCGCTCGCGGTTTTTTGGACGTAAAATCTCGCATCTCGGAAGCCAAGCTTCAACCCCCGATGAGCACCCGTCCCGATGAGAAACAGGGTCTAACAGGATAAAATTCGCTCGACGCGATGCACGCTGTAGGGCACCTGCAGCTTCCCATGCATGGGTGCGACAGCCGTGTCGCGTGGAAATTTGGCCAGAGTGACAGGCGGAGCGGTCGATAGCCGAGATGTCAGGAGGTGCTCCCCTGGACATGTGAGCGGGACGGTTGCGCGCCCAGCCTTTTGGCGCTGACTGCCCCACTTTTGGTGCACCCGCCGAAAAGCAGGAGGTGAGCTGAGCCCCTTGCGCCTCGATTATCCCCCCCCTTCATCCTCTCTGCCGTCGCTGATCATCGCGATGGCAACCTCGCAGCGCGGTTCCCACGCACAGCCCCGTGTCGATGGCTCCAGGTATGGCGTCAGGCGTCACCACTCCGGCGCCACAGTTCAATATCACCCGCCCCCCTCGCAGTCGTTCTGGCGAGACGAGACCAGTTTGTCGACACCTTTTGCTTGTGTGTGTGTGTGCCTGATTGTCGCTTAGGGTGGGCAGGACGATGCGAGGCATAAAGTTCATGCGCTTGCGTCGGAGTGCCATGCCGTGGGGGGCGGGATGACGACGTGGTTATAGCTCCCCTGACCGTCGTGTGAACGTCTGTCCATCAAGGTACCATCCGAAAGCTCCGCTGCCGCTGCAGGATGGATTTAGCGTGCTCGAGTGCGAGCCTCCTTGCTGCTTAGGGCGCTGCGATCGCACACAACCAAACAGTGAAAGCCTATCAATCCGTCTCGTGGCCGGCTTGACACTGCCGACGACAAGCGAGCAAAGCAGATCTCGAAGCGGCTTGATGTCGATATCCACAGACTAAGCTGCTAAGCTTGGTGAGCTCTGGCAAGCAGTAGAGCGTACACGCTCGAGCTTGCAGCCTTGCATCTTCCCTGACGGCGCTTAGGTGCTGCGCTCGAGCTTCGTAACGAAGGAGTCGACTCGCCGTTGTTCTGGAAAATGTTTCGGGAAGGCATGGAAAGAGACGATGCAGGGACGCTTGGGTCTGGTTTCGAAAGGGTGCTGCGGCCAGGGACGAGGGAGACGCGCCCACGCTTCGAGCTCCTTGCAATGCGATGCATGTTGGTGCGGATCGCAGCTGCGGCTCTGCACGCCCTTCTTTTTCGCGCAAACAGATCGAAAAAAAAAGGGTCGGGCGGCCAAAATGCAAGCGACGTGCCTGGGGAATGTGAGCTTGTCTCGATGCCGCTTCCATGCCAGACGCAGCGGTGCCACTGCCACTGCGGTGGTGGCGAGCGTCGTCGGCACGTCCCGTCTCGGCTAGCCGCCCTGACAGCTGCGATCCGCACCTAAAGTCACATCGCTTGCTCGCTCGTTCGTCGGCCAACCCAATCGTGCCCGCCAATGTCACCGCTACTGTAGCTGCCAGCTTTCGTCCCAACTGACTACTTATATCCCTCAGCATCCGACGAGGCTCGCCAAGCTGGATCCCCTTTTGCCACCTCTTGCTCTGCTCTTCACCTTTGCACCCCGCTCTCTCCTGCCATTCGCACACGCAGGCCACAGTGCAAGCTTGCACATCACACAAAACGTAAGTACACCGTTCCGGCCCAACCAGCGCCAACAGCACGCAGAGCAGAGAGGAACCGGACGAACTCAGGATCTCATCGGGTCACTTGCGCATCGGCCGATCGTCGGTCGGTGCGGCGGAGGCGGGGCTTGGCCTCGGGAATTGGCCATTCGGTCGGGCGTGTCCGCAAAGTTTAGAGCGCCGCCCAAGATCTTAAGGTTCTCACGGCGGCCGTTGCTCGATTTCGTCGGAATTTCGCTCCCCACGCCTCGATCCTGGCCGAGGGCAAAAAATTCTTT